TAAATGGTCAAAAACTGAAATCCTGCACACTAAAATCAGGAACAAGACAAGGATGTCCACTATCACCTCTCCTGTTCAATATAGTCTTGAAAACATTAGCCACAGCAATTAGACAACAGCAAGAAATAAAAGGAATAAAGATAGGAAATGAAGAAGTCAAATTGTCATTATTTGCAGATGACATGATACTCTATATCAAAGACCAAGAACTCCACCAAAAGTCTTCTAGACTTAATAGCCAAATTTAGTAAAGTAGCTGGATACAAGGTCAACACACAAAAATCAATAGCTTTCCTCTACACAAACAACAGAATCACTGAGAGAGAAATTGGGCAAACAATTCCTTTCACAACTGGATCCAAAAAACTGAAATCCCTAGGAATCAACTTAACAAAAGAAATCAAAGACCTCTTCTCTGAAAACTATAGCACTCTGTAAAGAAAGACTGAAGATGGTATCAGAAAATGGAAAGACATCCTTTGCTCCTGGGTAGGAAGAATCAACATAGTGAAAATGGCCATATTTCCAAAACTGCTATATAGATTCAATGAAATCCCAATAGAAATTCCAGCAGCATACTTCATGTACCTTGAGAAAACAATCCAAAAATTCATGTGGAACAAGAGACCTAGAATAGTAGAAGCAATTCTACGCAACAGAGACATGGAAGGGGGTATCACAACCCTCAAAGTGAAACTATACTACAAAGCTACTGTGATAAAAACAGCATGATATTGGCAAAGAAACAGACCTGAGGACCTGTGGAACAGATTAGAAGATGCAGAAAGAACTCCAGACACACTCAGCCAACTCATCGTCGATAAGGGAGACAAACACCCTCACTGGAGGAAAGATAGCCTCTTTAATAAATGGTGCTGTTTGGGCTGGGGATTTAGCTCAGTGGTTTCACCGGCTGCTGCACAAGTGCAAGGACCCAAGTTTAATTCCTGGTACCAATAAATAAAAAAATAAAAATAAATGGTGCTGGAAAAATTCGGTTTCAATTTGCTAAAGAGTAAAACTAGACCTATATCTCTCACCATGCACTAAACTAAAATCAAAATGGATTAAAGATCTAAATATCAAAGCAGGAACGCTGAACCGGCTGGAACAGAGATTAGGTAGAGCTCTTGAAGACACTGGTATAGGAAGATATTTTATGAACACAACCTTAGTTGCCTGAGAACTAGCACAAACAATCAACAAGTGGGATCTCTTCTTATTAAAAAGCTTCTGCACAGCAAAAGAATCATCAACAGTGTGAAGAGACAACCCACAATGTAGGAAAAAATTTTCACTTGCTGTTCTTCAGATAAAGGTGTACTATCTAGAATCTATAAAGAACTTAAAAAGATCAGACCTTCCACATTGAAAGACCCAATCTAAAAATGGGCTTATGAAATGAACAGACATTTCTTGGACAAAGAAGTAGAAATAGCAAAAAAAAATATGAAAAAATGTTCAACATCAGTGGTCCTTCAAGAGATGCAAATGAAAACAACGCTGAGATTCCACCTTACTCCAGAAAGAATGGTTGCCATCATAAAATCAACCAATAACAACTGCTGGCGGGGCTGTGGGGAAAGAGGAACACTGCTCCACTGCTAGTGGGAGTGTAGACTGGTGCAACCACTGTGGAAATCAGTATGGGTTTACCTCAAAGAACTAGGACTGGAAGTCCCACTTGACCCAGTTATTCCTCTGCTAGGTATCTTCCCCAAAGAATTAAAAGAATCATACCACAGTGATATATGTGCACCCATGTTCACAGCAGCATAGTTTATAATAGCTAAAACTTGAAAGCAGCCCAGTTGCCCATCAACTGGAGACTAAATAAAGAAAATGTGGTTTTTAAAAATATAAAATGCAGTACTACTCAGCCATAAAAAATGAGAAATTAGAGACATTTATAGCTGAATGGATGCCCATTGAGGCAATACTCTTAAGTGAAATAAATAGGACACACATGTGTAAATAGTGAATAGTTTCTCTGGTGTGAGAAACTGAAAGTGTACATAAGGACTAAAAGGTGTAATAGATAAGGTGAAATAGGAAGAAAAGGGGCAAAGGGGAAGAGGAAGTGGGAGAGGGAGGTGAAAGGAAAGAAAGAATTAATATGAAAAAATAAAAAAATGGAAACAAAGTCTTTGTAAATAGGGAGGGATGGAGGGGTGAAAGGAAGGCAAAGGAAAGGGGGAAAAATAAGAACAAAGAGAGATTATGTAAAGGTGCAAATTTCCAATGATGAATGTCATTATACTGTATAACTAAAATGTACTAGAGGTATAATAGATAAGGTGAAATAGGAAGAAAAGGGGCAAAGGGGAAGGGGAAGTGGGAGAGGTAAGGGAAATGAAAGAAGGGAATGGAATATGAGAAAATGAAAAAATGGAAACAAAGTCTTTGTAAATAGGGAGGGATGGAGGGTTGAAGGGAGGGCAGAGGAATGGGGAAAAAATAAGAACCAAGAGAGATTATGTAAAGGTGCAGATTTCCAATGATGGATGTCATTATATTGTATACCTGAAATGTACCAATAAAGTTAATTAAAAAAAAACAATTTGTAACTTCTCTTAAGAAATAACCTAATACTGGGCCAGGGATTTAGCTCAGTGGTTCAGGCACCTGCCTCGCAAGCGAAAGGTCCTGAGTTCGAGCCCCAGTACCAAAAAAAAAAAGAAATAACCTAACATGTAAATTTGTAACTTCTCTTAAGAAATAACCTAATATGTAAATTAGCTAGATATTTAGAGATGGAATAATAAAGTGCAATGTGTATACTGAGTCCTATTTTTAAAAACTTTCTTAACTTCCTATTTCTTATCATTACAATTCTCATACTAATTGAAAACCTACAATATCTTTAACACTGTGAATGCAAAGTACTAACTCTTTGAACAGAGACCTACCTTAAAAGTACATTATTTTCCTTTGAAAGGCAACTTCCTTGATATTACATGTGTAGAATAATTAAATTTTTCCATCATCCTGACCTGGATAAGAGTTAAAGAGGTAGAAGGGGGAAAAAAATCTTCCTTCTTTAAATCTCAATCCTACATCATGCTTTTTTCCTCCCTAAATTTCAGTCTTTTAAAACATTAATAGTTTTGCTTTATTTTCCCTGGAGCATTCCCTATCTTGATTAAAGAATGGCTTATTCGAGGCAAACAGGATACAGGAGTAATAGTGCAGCTTCCAGGCAAGCTGTAAGTAGTGGCAGCATTTTCAAGAAATCTTGTACAGTGTGTAAGTTGCAGTTTAAACATGTAGTGCAGTTTTTTTATTACAATGGCATCACCAAAAGTAATTGTTAAATGAGAAATTCAATTCTTACCAAGTTTTCTTGGTTCCTGGCTGCTATCTTCTGCTCTTCTTCGGCCCCATTTTTCATGTATTTGACCTCTTCCACTGGTTTGATCCTATACTCATCTGAGTGCCAGAAAAAGAAAACACATCTTAAATTTTTTTTCCAAAATGGTAGGTAAGTTTCAGTTATAAGAGCCAAATAGCATAATTTGATAGAACCTTTCCCATAAGGCCTTTATATGTGGCTCACGTAGAACTGTCAGGGAGAAGCTTAACCCATACCTTGGATCCTTTTAGCAAGGTGTGCTCCTCTGTCTGCTCAACACCACAGATGGAGCTAATGAAGGTGTCCCTGCCTGGTTCTTTCTCAGTGAAAACAAGTTACTCTGTCTCTAAAGTCTACTTGGGATACATACACACAGGAACCCATCACATGATGGCCTATGAAGACGGTAAAGAATATTCTTATTTTCCCCCCAAGAGAATATTAGCTCAAAATGTTTGTGGCGGCAATTTTCAGAAGTAGGTACACGTTTTCATTTCTTCTTTTGGAAAAACAAAGTACTGTTTATGACTAAGGAGTTCTACTGATAAACAAATATATGTACTGCCAAAGCAAGCATGTGATAAACAAATAGGTATAAACAAATGGGAACTGAAAATTTTCTTTTTATGAGCCTTATGCTAAATTTGAGCATTCTACAATTATTGCATATATTTATGTCTTATATACATATATACTTTAACTCTCGGTAAAGTCACATTCATATCTAGTCATAACACCCACTAGATCTAATAAGTAAGTATATCTTTCAAGGCTGTAGAGTATAGAGAGTCATGGATGGAACCCAGACTTTCCAACAGCCAAAGAGAGGACATAAATCCCACTATTAATGTCCATTATTGGACAAACTCAGGAAAATTTGCAGCTAAAACACTTCTCCAGGAAGCGGTTTGGTGATGATGATGACATTTTCTTCAGATTCTTGTCAACAGGAAATGTCTTGGGCAGACTAAGTTCAAAAACTGGTGTGAAGCTGGGCAGGCTGGTGCCTGCCTATAATCCTGGCACTCTGTTGGCAGGAGGATTGCCATGAGTTCTAGGACAGCCTCGGCTACATAGATCAGCCTGAATGACATAGTCAGACTGTATCACAAAAAACAAAATAAAATAAAACAAAAAAGGCGTGAATTTGAGTCATCTTTAATTCAATTTGTGGGGGGAATGCAAAACAGTATGAAATTAGAAAAATTCATCAATCACCAATCTCATGATCACCCAGCATATGGTATGGGTAATGTCTAACTATGAAGGACAGCTATCTATCACTAAGAAAGTTCACATTTCATTTTAAGAAGTTTTAATTATTTTCTTGTTATCTATGATTAAATGGGGATAATGACTATATTCTTATAAATCTTCTAGTTTTAGTATATATCATACCACTTTCTAATGTAGTTTCAGGTTTCCTCACACTATCCCTTAATATTCTACTCGCTAAGATACTTGTTATAGTAACAGTTCTCCACATAATTATGATGTTCAAATGCTTCTCAAAATTATCATTTTATGAAGGTAATACATTTTCATATCTCTGCATAAGACTCCATGTTCAAAGCTAAGCCAATTATTTTTTCCAACTCATAATTCAAAGGTGGTATTAATTCTGCTTTTTTCTAAAAGAAAATTGAGAGACTGGTGTGAGATAACAGTAATAAGCCCCTTAGGAATTTGAAGTCCTAAATGTATTAAGTTAATCAATGTTTTCTGATCCACAATTACAACATAAAAAAATTCACAATTCAATTTGGTATTCAGAAGAGAAAAAATGAAAGTTAATATTATCAACAAATTTAATTAATTAAGGATTATTTACTCAGAAGCTGGAGAGTAATTATTAGTTAAAAAGACACAAATTATGCCTCCAATACAATTATACAGATATAAAAATAAAGATAAAAAATAAAAAATTAAGTTAGCCTCTTAACTTCAGTTTGGGACATTAATAGTTATAAATCATGGCTCAGTGAGATAATCACTAACATTTAATAACTAAACTTAATTGTGATCTGAGTTGCTCCTGGTGAATCTGATTATTTAAATATAAATAACATACATGTTATCTCTATTACATATAAGGTACGTATAAAGCTCGCATGTCATACATACATGGTATATAGATATATCACAATTTCAGTGGACTCTATGATTCTGTCTATAGGACCCAAACCCACACATGAAAGGATGGTGAAGAGCACACAATATTTTAGAGCCTGAGTGGAAGAATCTTTTTGAAAGGCTCAGATAGCCCTCTGCTCCCTGCATAGCAAGAGGCCTCTGCCCTCTAGAGAGGACCTAGCTTCCCTTACCTGCTGCCCTCTCCCATCCACCAAGCCACAGGCCGGTGTAGGTGCCCGTGAGTAGCCTGACAATAGTCTGTCTTCATGCTCTTATCTCTCCAGGGGACACAACTGAATTGAAAGTAGTAGACAAACTTTTAATAGTTTTCTGCAATAAAATGGAAAAGCTCCTGGCAACATGATTTTCAAAGCAGCATTATTCCAAACACAGGCTTTTTTTTTTCCAATCAAGACAGAATCACCACCAATTTAGAAAGCAGATAGGTTTTAACATGTCATTAACAACCCTGGTTGACTGGCCAAAGCAGGCAGTGTCTGAGGAACACAATTTGACTGCATACAAAGGAAGAAAAAACAAACAGCCAAGACTACAAAGCCAGATCTATCATTACTACTTATATAACACACTGCACAAAATCCATCATGGTATAAAACAAAAAAGCAAGTAAGACCCTTAGACAAGCCACAATTTGTATAAAGCAAATACTTAAAAACCTTCTGTCAAATGTCTCAAAGGCTGGTGCTGGGAATGAAGATGTCCATCTGGAGACAGGCAACTCGTCAACAAACGTGTCACACATTTCCATGGCAATACAGCCAGGAACAGCCCTTCTCAACAGGCTTCTTGAGGTAGAAGGCAGCATTTTGGGTTAGGACAGATTTCCTTTCCTGGAGGCGTAGAGGGGTTAATTTGGAACCTGAGGCCCCCTTTCCCAGAGCCCGTGCTCTAGGAATATATCATATTGGCACTTCCAATCAATGTCCTGGGAACAAACAATGTGCTATCTTGACTGAGATAGGGGAGAGACACAGGATCCATCTTCCTCTGGCTTCCTCACACCTGTCCACAGTTTTTCTTTTCTTCCTGTTGATCTTGTCAGGTGGCTTATTAAAATGCATGTCAGGAACAGTAGGCTGACTCCAGTTCCCTCCGTGTAAACAGTTGCAGGCAGTGCTAGTCAAAATAGATCTGGGGTAAAAATGATGCCTGAGTAATATTTTTAGCATTTTATCCTGAGATTATAGCAGAGAGGGGTTAGGATTAGTTGGTGGCTGTCACTGATCAAAAAAAGACTAGGTATGAAAGTGGCAAAGTAGATTCAGATTTTCACCATTTTGGAGAAAAACTCAAGGTCTGTCCATATCCTAGGGTAGCATTTACAGAGTTCTTCTGCCTCTTTTTCTCCTCCCAACTCTAAGGATTTACAGAGTTCTGCCTTTCTTTCTCTTGCACCATCTACTGGGTACAAGTGTTTAATGATCTGAGCATTATAAATGCATCCAGCTGCAGATGAAAACAACACTGAATTCCATCTCACTCCAGAAAGAATGGCTGCTATCAAGAAATCAACCAATAAAAAATGCTGGAGGGGCTGTGGGGTAAGAGGAACCCTGCTCCACTGTTGGTAGGAGTGTAGACTGGTGCAACCACTATGGAAATCATTGTGAAGATTCCTCAAAGGACTAGGATTGGAAGTTTCATTTGACCCTGGTATTCCCCTGCTGGGTATGTTCCCAAAAGAACTAAAAGCATCATACCACAGCGCACCCATGTTTATAGTGCAGTTTGTAATAGCTACATCTTGGAAACAGCCCAAAAGCCCATCAACTGACTTTCAGCCATTTGGAAGGGGAAATTTGGAAAAGTCAAAGATCTTCTCGGGAATTAAACTGCTGGTATTTTCTAACAATGAATGAACCTGAGAATAAATAAAAACACAACAAAAATTCCAACATTTGAATGGCTGATACTTCAAAGTGCTTAAGAAGAGATGATTTTCTTTCTAGCTTATCCCCAGGAAACCCATTTAACAGAGCTGAGCTATGTCCTTTAGACTATAACAACCCTGGTGCTAGGTCTTGGAAGAGGTAGTCTTGTGATCTAGGCAGAGAGAAAAAAGGAAAGGAAATATTCCTGTCTTTTCCTGGATGGACATCTTGCCCTGGGCCAGTATGGTCTTTGTGTCAAACAACTTCCTCATTTCAACTGGTCCTAAATCTCCATGTAACCACTCCTTCAGCCTCCTATGCATTCAGCAGCTTTCCTAGTTCTCCCCTTGCTGCTGCTGTCCAGTTCCACTGAGGCATATTTCCAAGTGTATTTCTCAAATACAGTTTCTCAGACTTTCTTTTTCCTAATCAAAAGATAACTCTTGCTAAATTAAGAATCTCTAATTGGTGCACTTGTAAAGGGATTCACATAAATGGGAAAAATTGAGGCTAGCCGTGAGAGCAGAAACTACAGGTACTTATGGTAAGAAAGTCACCTCTGGACAAGCCAGTCACACCCTGTTCTCTAGGATTCTGGGAGTTGCTGAGTTTCCTTGATCCAGTGGGATGTTACTTTTGATCAAATTTGGAAAATTTTCAGCTAATACACTTTTTTCTTTTCTCCTTCCCTCCTTTTTTCCCTTCCTCATTTCACACAGCTTGAAAATGGTACAGCTGGGATGAAAACCCAGGCAGTCTGACTTCAGAGCCCACATACTTAACCCATATATCATTGTGCTATGCTTTTCAACTTGTCTCTCCTATCAGCCTATCATCTCTCCTAATCTCCAAAATAATTTTATGTTTCTCATTTTTATAGCAATATGCAGTGACTAATATTTGTTGGCCATAAACGGAAGTCTAATTGCACAGTCATTAAAGAGCAGAGAATAGCAAAGGCTCTGATCACATCAGCACATTCAAGCCTGCTTCCTTTCTACTCAGCCCTCATCTAGAAAGCATCCACCTGTGCAGTCCCAGTGCCCATTACA